CTGAGACGTAGATCAAATAGTTGTTGCCTTGGTAATTAATGTTCATTGTTTCTGGGAGGATGAGTGCGTCTTGTTGTTCAATATATAATTGTCGACGGTGGGATAGGACATGGCTGTAAGCCGGGTTCTTTAAACCCGCTTTCAATGTTGTGACGTTTGATGTGACTTTAAATCTCAGTTCAGCGAATTTTATTTCGATTTCAACATTGGGTAGAGAGGGACACACGTCAGAGAGGATTACCCGTTTTGTTTTGGCAACAAGAGGTTTAATCCTCAACTCGACTCCCTCGATCGATAATTCGGTAGTGTCTGTCGTCAACAAGTCTACGAGTTCAGTGGTTTTCACGAAGATTATAATTCTCTCTTTCGTTCGTGGTACCGTTAATAAGTTTTCTGGGCCAATAAAATCACCCACACAGTAAGCGTACTCATCCTTCGGGACTTCTGGAATTGCATCAATGGATATGCCATGGTCTTTGCCTAGATTGGTTTCGGTTACTGCACATGAGTAAGTCATCGGTGATTGCGTAGTCCTTGGTTTGTTGCCATTGTCGTTTCCATTGGTCGCTGTTCCGTTTGTCACTTCGGTATTTTCTTTATCGTTAGGGTTCATTTTGATTTTTTTTTCACACTGGCGGAAATAAAAAAAAAACTGGGAAAGGTTTTGCGTTACGCAGAGTCAGAGCGACCTGCATGAGACGGGAAAATTATTTATTTGCCTCGCTCACTGTTTACACTTTGTATCGGTACACGGAGCGATTTACTGATACGTCTTACCCCGACAGCTGTCAGAGTAAGAATCACACCGCACCATGATCTGCCAAAATCAGAATTGAAGAAATTGTCCTCCGAATACCCCTCGACCTTCAAAATTCATCGAGTATTTCCCTCAAGTTTTCCTGCATATCAACGATCGGAATTTGCTTTGCAGATTAAAATCCTGAGCGCGCAGCGCGAGGAGCAACGAGAGATCCCTCTCGTTGCTATGCACCAAAACATTCGGGAAATATTCGATAATTTTGAAGGTCTTAGGGTATTATAGCTGAGTATTTCCCTCATCGGAATCTCGGCCAATAGGAGGGCCGCATTTGATGTCACGTGGTACAACCTACACGGTTTTATATCGGTAAAATTCGGTAAAATCACGGCACGTTGATGAAAAAGAGTAAACAAAAAAATTGACATGCGAAAGTGTAGGTTGTACCACATTGACATCCAATGCTACCCTCCAGTGACCGAAATTCCGATGGAGGAAATACTCCTCCAAATACCCCTCGAGCTTCAAAATGCATCGGGTATTTCCCTCAACCTTCCCTGCAAACAAACGATCGTGTCAAGTCTTGTAGGAAAATCCCTCGCGCTTCGCGCTCCAGATTTTTAAACCTACCAAGCTTGACACTCTCGTTTGTTTGCAACGAAGCTATCGGGAAATACCCGATCATTTTGAAGCTCTTGGGGTATTACTACTGATAATTTCCTCTATTCTGATTTCGGGCGAACAGAATGCGGTGTTCGGAGTTACGTGACACTTTTGACCAAAATGTGAGGATATCTGTCAAAAGAAGGGGAATTATCAGTTAGATAATTTACACGTAGCCCGGTAAATTATCAGTTGTAATACGCCGAGATCTTCAAGATTATCAGATATTTCCCCGAAAAATCAGTTGTAATAGTACATTAGAGTACAAGGGCACAAATTCCGTTTTCGACGAATGTGAAGTTTACAGGCGGATCCGGCGACGGAGATTTTTCAGTCGAAATACCCCGAGTGCTTCAAAATTATCGAAAATTTTCCCAAAGTTTTGTTGGATAGCAACGTGGGGGGCAACTTTGGCAGGTTAGAAATTTTTTGTCAAACTTGCTCCTCTCGTTGATATGCAGGAAAATTTGAGGAAAATTTTCGACAATTTTGAAGCACAAGAAGCATTCAGCTGAATTCCCCCTATCTGAATTGCCGACCAATAGGAATGTAGTATTTGACGTTTTTGCGGTATAAACAAAGATATTTTTATTCCAATTTAAAGTATTACTGAACAAAATGAGGAATGAGAGGAGGAAAATTATTTTCTCATCGATAAATTTGAGCAATTGAAAGTACAATTATTGTAAATGAATGTGGTGTAATCCGAGGAAGTGACGTTAGCCGTGTTTTGAGGGATGAGAGTGGAAGAGGTCGAAGGCAGTGATTGTTCATCGGAAATGCATGGTTCATCCTCCTCATCTTTTTTAGTGGAGAGCTGTGATGTTCAGCATTCAGTTGCAAGTTGTTAACAAAATTAAGTTCAGACGTACTCACATTTCATCGTATTATTTGGTACACTTTTCTTTATATTTTGGTCAATACCATCGAGAGAATCTCCTCCAAATCTATCCATTTTGACACTTGAGTTTCGTCCACGTAAACTTGAACTGATTACTACCGACTTCATTCGGATTATTCTTTGTTTATCGACAATTCTGGTTAACGTGCAACGAATTGGGAATTACCGAAAAAGTATCAAAATAGTCCTACCCCCACTCCACCGCAAAACGTCAAATACTGCATTTCTATTGGGTGGCAATTCAGTTGGGGGAATAATCAAAATAAAACTGATGTTAAGGTGTCACGTGATCCCGTACACTGCACTCTGATTGGTCGAAATCAGAACCGAGAAAATTATTAGCTACACGGAGAGAAATATTCAGTAAAAATTACGGAACAATTCACGTAATTCATAATGGGTATTCGTTTTCGGCAATTTTTACAGGAATGGAAGAGAAAAAATCTGAAACGTTCAGTGAATTTTCGGGTTCATCACAGAACAAAGTACGAAATTGTCACGTAATGTTTCCCGAAGAATTGAAATCTTACAGAAACTTCCCGACTTATTATGCCTCCAAAATAAAAAATCCTTGAACGTTCAATAATTTATATGAAGCTGGTGAATAATTTCTACGTTTCGTTCTGTAAAATTTCTCAATCTTTGACGGGTGGTGAATTTTTACGGAACAAATCGTAGAGTTTACGTGGCGATTCGTACAATTTCAGTTTCGACTCACACTTTCTATTGAATTTTACTTCGCTCGCAGGTTTCGAAACGTAATTTTTAGGTTTTGTTTCTGGTATTTTTTATTGAATTTTTCTCTTCGGGTATAATGTCCCAAGACCTTCAAAATTATCGGATATTTCCAGATAGTTTTGTTACATATAGCAACGAGAGGAATCAGTTTTGTAGATTAAAATCCCGAGCGCGCAACGCGAGGGGCTTTATTGCAAAACTTATCCGGATCGTTAATATGCAGGAGAACTTGAGGGATTATTTCTTTCATTCTGATCTTGGCCGATCAGATTACAAGGTTCGAAGTGCACCTGACATATTCCACCAAAATGTGAGAAATTTCTGTCAAATGAGTAGAAAATAATTGACCGGCTACAGGGAAATTATTGGCCTGATAATTTTCCTGCCGCTGGGAAAATTATCAGCGTGAAATGCGTGACGTGCCCCCTAATACTATACTTTGATTGGCCGAAATCATAATTGAGGAAATTATCAAAATAAAGCTAATGTTAAGGTTTTACGTTAGCATTAATACTGTACCCTGATTAGTTGAAATTAGAATTGAAGAAATTACCAGTAGTAATACTCCGAGAGCTTCAAAATGATCGGGTATTCCTCGATAGCTCCATTGCAAACAAATGAGAGTATCAAGTTTTGCAGGTTAAATGTATTTTTTTGCAAAACGTGGCACGATCGTTTGTTTGCAAGCAGTGATGCTGTAAGAGAAATAAGACAAGACAAGAGTACTGCTGCAAGATGCAAGACAAGGGCCAGATTTTGCTCTTGGTAAGAAGGACAAGACAAAACAAGAAGAAAGTTCCGAAGAGGAAAAAGAAAAAAAGAGAGATGGAACAACAGAAAAATGATTAATCAAAAAATTCGTCAAAAACTCTCAAGTTATCAATAATATAAGGCCATTTTGTTCAATAACACTTTATCTATCCCTAAATAATGTGAAGAATTATGAATTCCTCGATTATATTAATCTTTCTTCTCGAATAGCGCATCTTTTATTATTTGAGCTAGTGGAGTTGAGAACCATGAATTCATACACAGCAAGTACTCAACATTTTTGTTACTCAATCGACTCCGGTGTTTTCTGATGATGAGACCAGCTTTTGAAAACAACCATTCTGAAGGAACACTGGATGCACAATTTTCAACTAATCACGAGCCATACGAGCCAAACGAGGAAAACTCAATTTATTAATCTCACGGAATGGAAAAAAGAAATTGTCGAGGTGCACAAGAGAACGCAAGACAAAATAAGAATTTTTTACCCTTGCTCATATCCAAACAGACAAGAGACAAATTTTCTCTTGCCAATTGGAACAAGACAAGACAAGAGAAAACCTCAAAATTTATAAGACAGTCAAGAAACATGTAATTCTTGTATTTTTTTGGAATTTTGTAGACAAGAATTACGTGTTTCTTGTCTTGTCTTATTTGCGGCATCACTATTTGCAGGGGAGCTTGAGGGAAGTACCCGATTAATTTTGAAGCTCGAGGGGTATTTGTCGGATTATTTTTCCTGATCGGAAAACATCATGAGGTGAATTAGGGAAGATTTGAACAAATTATGTTAATATAATAACCTGATTTCTGTAGACTATCAAATACAAGATTCGATCTGAAATAAGCCGAAAAAAATGAAGAGTTACTGCGAAATATTCAAAAACTAGGAGAAAATATCCGAAATAAAACTGTCGGGTATCCTCAAATACTGCGCGTTGATTGGTTGGAATCCGATTGGGAAAAATAATTTTAAAAATCGTCTTTGTATAGAGAAACGCAAGCTGTGGAAAAGTATCCGCAAAACTCGTCTATCTTCCTTGAATTAAATTCAAATATTGAGGAAAAATTCATATATAAAATCAATTGATTCGTATTGTTTCATTGTTTCCATACGAATTGACATGCATCAATTGTCTGTGTGTAATTAAGAATTTTCTATACACTTACAAATATGTGAACTCCTCTTTCAGTTAGTAGGGATATCTGATTGTCCTCTGACCATTCAATATTGAAGAGAGCGGTCACAAGCTCAGTGATTGGAACATTATATACTTCTTGAGCCTCCATCGTCATTTTGTCATCTCCTGGATCTAAAGATAATGAATTCATTGAATAATGCGTTGTTTAAACTCAATTAAAGATTTGAACAATTAAAAAACAATTAGAGAGAATTTCATAAATAGATAACACAGCAACTTCAATCTTTCAGAGATACTGATAGGTAAAAATTACAGTTTTTGCTTCCGAATGGAAGCATTGTAACCGGTCAAATTTAAGTGTTGGATTTTTCGTGTTATATCACCCCATTATGATCCAAAAAGTCCAAAAATACAATTTTTTGACCGTGTCCGTGCGAATGTATGTACAATCGAGCACTAAAGTTCGTAAACAAAATACATAGAATGCAAGGTCAGGCTGTTCACGAACTTTAGTGCTCGACTGTATGTACGTACGTATGTAAACTATTTTTTCTTCGATTGTTCGCTAATGAGTCGGTGGCATTGAAGCTCCCCCCCCCCTCCAAATGTAGGTATTGTTGAGCCCCATCAATCGCCATTAATTAAAATTTAATTTATTTATTAATTATTTCAATTTTTCAAGTTTTTCAAAAATTGGTCATTTCTCTAGATATTGATTTTCCCTGATTTTCAAAAATTTTGTATTTTTTGAAAATCAGAATTTTCGGGATATTTCTGGATATCATGCTTCAAATGAACTCAATGGTAGCTTAAAATCTTTGTTTCAATGCCATTAAGTAGAAGTTAAAAGATGATTACGATAGCTACATTGGTTGATTTGATTTTTATGATGATTATTGAAAATTTCGAATTTTTCATGAATTCCCCTGAAAGTGAGCGTTCTGATGGTTTCTTCAAATGTGATTTTTCAAAATCATTCAATTATTTATAGATAACATTTCTTTTCGTGAGAAGACACGGTAAACCGCGATTCTAACCTCGCTTCGCTCGGTTTGATCGCGGTTTACGGGCCTTCTGACGAAAAATTGCATTCATCACACGGTCCAAAAGTATTTTCTGACGAATGCGGCTTTGTAGGCCGAGCCGAAGGCGAGGCCTATAATCACTTTCGTCAGAAAATACTTTTGGACCGTGTGATGAAAATAACTATTATTAACATTTTATCGAAGGGCTGAGGGGCGAGATAGAACTGTAAAAAAGGCAATTGGTTGTATAGAAAAAAGGGATAGTAAAATAATGATGATGATAATATTCAATTAAGTTGAAAATCTGACAAAATTAGTTGAAAAGAAATCTTATTCAATTTAATAAAATGAAAAAAACAATGAATTATACGTGATAGAAAGAAATGATGCGCAGAATAAGCAAAAATTAATATACCATATTCAATGCAAGAGCAATTTCCTACTTGTTTATGTTAATCTTGAAATATTTCGACGTATATTAGTTGGGAAACTGGTTGCTATAAATGAATTTAACCTCTTTGAGCTATTACACTTAGTAACATGGATGCTCATGTAGATGTACGGCACCTCCCATTCTACACGTTTCCTTCTAAAGGCAGTTTTTTAAATTTCAATTATGAGGTGTTCATATAAATTCAACATGCAGTGAAATACTTATATTCTTAAAGTATCAAGCTTCACTAGTAGTTAGCATTACCCAGTATGAACCCCACAAAGATCATTATTTGACCGAGTCACCCTCTTCAAGTTATTTTTTAGCTAATTGAGTCCGAGTCAATTTTCTTGTTGATTTCAATTTCTTTTGTTGTTAAATGTCGAAATAATTCAGTTTCCTCGAAAAATTCTTTGGAGCAGCTATATGCTCCAATTACCGAGAATTTATTTTAGTTATCACGGACGAAAAAATTTAATAGAAAAACCTATCGAATTCGTTAAAAAATTCTATTCAATTTTTATTGAACTGTTCTATTAGTTTTTGGCCGATTCTATTAAAATGTTCAATAGAAAATATTCAGTAGAAAAAGTCAATAGAATTTTCTCTATAACTTATTCTATTGAGATATTTTCTATACAATTTTTGAAAGATTGAATTCTGATGACTTTTTTTATTGAATGTTTTCTATTGAACATGTTAATCGAATCAGCCAAAAACTAATAGAAAGTTTAATAGAAATTTAATAGAATTTTCTAACGAATTCGATAGGTTTTTCTATTAACTTTTTCCATGCGTGATTCCCCGATGATTTTCTGACGTCCCATTGAGTATTAAACATCGAACTTTTTCTACATAAATATCGAATAAGTGTCGATGAAGTTGAAAATGTTCAACGTCTTGTATCTAATTGATTTTCAGAGGCACTAAATATAAACCATAATAAGCTAAATTTAACATCTTTCATGCTTCCGGATCTATTTATAAAATAAATAAAGCTGGAGAAATAATGAATGAAAACTCCAAAATCACTCACTGACAAGTTCATTCAAAGCTCAACAAGAGGTACAAAATTGACTTGTCACCATTCATCTCTTCACTATTGCCTTCAACTCTTCAATCTTTCTTAAACAAGTATGTCAACAATACAAGGAATACCTCCACTTATCCTTAGTTGTCTTCTCCCAATTTGACGGGTTTTGAAAATAGTCCCAAAGAAAAAAATTATGGTAGGGGAGGGTGGGGTAAAATGGACACTTTGGACTTTTTTAAAATTATTCATAACTCAGAAACAATTTTATCAATTGAGCTCAGTTTAGGCTCGCCACAAAGGGAAAGAGTTGTTCTTTGTATTGCAAAAAAAAAAAAATTAAATTTCATCATCATTTCAACCCCTCATTGACGTTTAAAAAAAAGTCAAAAGTGTCCGTTTTACTCCAATCTCCCCTTTTCAAATCACATGTCTTCACCGTATTCTAAAGAAATATTCAATAATCCCGAAAATGCATAAATTCTATGAATGTATTTTGACTGTATTGGATAGTCTACCCTTCCAATCCCTTCCTAACCAAGAGTGGAGCGAAACAGAACACAAAACACATAAAACAAACCTTCACAACTTGATATTTTTCTATTCAACGAGTATCCATGACAAAACAATTATTCTTACATCCTTTGAAGCCCTCTCTAACAATTCTGCATCTTCAAAATCCTCAATGAATTTTCGGAGCAACTTCACACCTCTCCTAACAAAAAGTAAACAGCACATGCCATTTTTAAATACCTCTTCACGCATGCGTCCCTCCTCCCTCGGTACTATCGCTTTGAAAATCCAACTGAACTACACGATGCCACGGCAGTCGTGTTGAGAACGCCTCTTCGTGCGTTCCCAAGTGTTTTTCATTCTCCGTACTGAATTCACTACACTTCCGTAACACCTGTGCGCGCAAAATAATGGCTCATTGTTGATAATCCATATGTATATGTCGTTCACCAGGGGGCGCTTGATTAGCTCAATTTCTATATATTACTACAGTATGACCAAAATGGCGTGCATGTTGTGAAGTTATAACGTCCTGCAGGTGAGAATAACAAATTGTTTAACGAAATAAAAATGGTCAACTGTGGTATTTTTTTACTTGTGGTTACTGTTGTCGTTGTATTTTGTGACCCTGGAGTAACACTGACAGTGGCTTAACGGAATAACTGGACTGTGAAACGTCGGGCTGGGGGACAGGGAGAGACGACGAAATAATGATGGCAAGAAAAATGTGTGCATGGTTACCGAGGGTATTATTCAAGTCGTGTCATCCGCGTCACCACGTAGCTAACCGGGAAATATGTCATATCGTGTCAATCCCAATCACTCCAACCATATCACCGTATTGTATTTTATTTGACTTTTCACTCATTAACGTCATTCGCCAGTTTTTTAACAATTTTTCACTGTATTTTTTCCCCTGCGTCCAGTGATTATTCCACTTGTCGATCAGTCGAGATTTGGCCAGTGGGTCTGTGTGCAGATTTTCTGGGGAAGTTTTTCACGATTTTTGCGGAGGTATGTACGTGTCTTTTCGGACATTAAATTAATCTCGAGATTTAACGTCGGGCTTTTTATGCGATTTCGTGGTGTTTCTTTTGGTCGGGGAAGTCGTTAATATTTTATCGGCCGAAGGGGGCTCGGGAATATGGTGCATGGGACACGATGTTTATGTTATCGAAGTGTTTTTATAAGACTGTTTTGTTTAGGTAGCAAGTTGTTGAAGTGACGTCCAGTTTTTTTTTTGATTAAGGACTTTTTGGTGATGATTTGACATTTTTTGAACAATTTTCGCACGTCGATCGTTGAGAAATCAATTGGTAATGGGGATGAGGGGATTAGAATCCTTTTGGTGATTATTCGTGATCGCCTAATTGAAATTATTCATTTTTTCCCACTCTCCACCCACAAATTTCACTTATCTCGAGGCTTTATGTGCGCACCCTAGCTCCCTTATCAGCGCGATAAAGTCTCCACATTTATACACACATTTATTGACGATTATTAAGCTACCTTAGACGAGATTACACTCGTTAGACTCCACAAATCATTCAATAATTAATGGTCAATGGAATTGAGTGTTTTTTTCCCTGTGGAGACGCGCGGGAACTTTGGAACCTGCGAGTTTTATTTGAATTGGTCGGGGTTATTATTTTTTTTATCGTGAAAATTTTAATGATATCAGTTTCGAGTCAATTATCTTGACACTTCCACTGTTACGACCTTCATTTGCAATCTCACACAGCGCTGCTACATTATCATATGCCGTGTCCTTTTCGATTGTATGACATGTTTTTGGAGTGATTTGGGAGGACTTTGCTATTGCGTGGATTATAAATGAATGGAGGAGAAGATGCTTTTTGACTTTTAAATGAGTTGGCAATTTCTTCAGGGGGGATAGGGGGTTCATTATGATTTGATTCGTTTATCAAATGATCTGATACGACAGGTTCGTCATGGGAAACGCAGAGAAATTCCTCCGATTATCCAGCTGTTAATCATTGAACTGAATCTTAAATTATTGCATGAGTCATGGGGGAATAACTTCACCATTTTTTTGTTTACTGCGGAAATAGAATTTCATGATATGGAAATTTATAGATTTTTTATCTTTATTGCATATTCTGAAAGAAGTCACAAATTTTTTTTGGCGTGCAATAATTTTGTGGAAGGAATATCTATTGAACTATTTGTTTCATAGACGAATTTTGTTAGGAAAAAACCAGCTGCAAAAATGCGTTATTCTTCAGACAAAATACTGACAGAGATTAATGGTGTAGTTTCGGGAATTTTCCACTGCGAACTTGCTCTAAATAAAGTTCTCAATATTAATGGATTAATTTAGGAATAGTCTATTTATCGGTGCTGAATATTTCGAATGCAAAATAGATAAGAGATACATTCAAATTTACCACTGCGCAATACTTCTGTAATAATCAAATTCGTTATTATAAAAAAAAAAATCTTGGTGTCGAATATATCCAGAATAATCGTCTATTTCGATGTATTTTCATCGCAGAGACAGGGAAAGATGCAATTTTATGTCAATGCCAGACATGTGAATAGATTTCCATTGGTATTGAATTTGTTGAAACGAGAAAGGGGAAAGTAATTACATGTTTGAAATACAATTGTCAAAGACCCTGGTAGGAGATGAGAAAAGGCCCAGAGTAGGCCCGAGCCACCCTCGGCCCATTTCCTACTTCCCACCAGGGGAACGGACTGATGCGATGGGGTTTCTCACTCGTGTAATTGGCCAGTCCTCGTCTTCGGCACACACGAGTGAAAAAAACCCTATCGGGTAACAGCCCCGACATTATTTTTCCATAGCGATTTTCAAGTTTTCGAGTTTATAATACCTCGAAGTATGCAATACTAATTCCGAGACGAGAAACTGTAAGAAGCAGTCTGGAATTGATATATTTCGTTATTAGGCCCAAAAAAACTTTTTTGAATATGAGTTTACAACCCGAGCCGAAGAAGAGCTAGAAAATATGAGCTAGACAATTTTTTTTAGGCGGTATGTCGAACGATATTTTTTGTCATAACCCCGGTGGAAAAAACTCCTTAAATCCTATTGGAAGAGAAAAGGGTAATTGGAAATAATGACGGTATTGCCGTTGACCGACTATTTCCGATTCAGGTTAGTAGCGCAATGCTGACACGTATGGAAAAATCCAATAGGAAAACCTAGCGAATTAGCTAGAAAATTCTATTGGGATTCTGGAGACAGAAATTCAAAATCAATAGAATCAGCGCAAAAAACTAATAGAATTTTCCAATAGAAATCCCATAGAAATCCGATAGATTTTCTTCAGAATCCCAACAGAATTTTCTAGAGAATTCGCTAGGTTTTCCTATTGGATTTTTTCATACGTGTCAGCATTGCGCTACTAACCGGAATCGGAAATAATGGGTCAACGGCAATAACGTCATTATTTCCAATTACCCTTTTTCTTCCAACAGGATTTAAGGAGTTTTTTCCACCAGGGAACGGTTGTAAACAGTGACAATGGCATGACAAAAAGTTTCTGTTGATGCTACACGTCCGTAAATCACTGCTTACAGCCGCTATGACAAAAAATATTGTTCGTCACACGGCCTAAATATTTTTATGTCATTAGGCCCGATAAACCGCGATCTGACCGAGCGAAGTGAGGTTAGAATCGCGGTTTTCGGGCCCAATGACATAAAATAGTTTTCTTCGCGTTGTGCAAAAAAGTAACTGTTTACTTTTTACTTGTAACGTTTTAGGTGTGAAGCCTGCCTAAAGCGTGCGGACAAGTGTTTTTTCGGTCGTGGGCCTATATCACTCGCCTTCGGCTTGTGCTAGAAACCTCCCACGAGCTAAAGACCACTTTTCCGCACTCGTATTTGAATATACTATACCTGACGAATGTGAGTTTATAATCCGCGCCGAAGGCGCATAACTGGGAGACCCGGGTTCGAACCCCGACTGGGCGGTGCGGGATTTTTTCTCTCTAAATTCTAATTCTCTTTGAATTAATTTAATACATAAAGGTGGTTAGGCGGTGTTGTCTGGCGAATTTGGAGAGAATATTTCCGTAGTTCCCGTTAGCTTAGTTGGGAGAGTGCCGGGCGCGTGACTGGGAGACCCGGATTCGAAACCCGGCTGGGCGGTGCGGGATTTTTTCTCTCTAAATTCTAATTCTCTTTGCGCCGAAGGCGAGGATTATAATCACATTCATCAGATAATACTTTTGTTGCCCAATGACATAATGTACTATTGTTCTATCGGTGCATGCGCGACGGGGGTTTTCAGCTCGTGTGTTGGCAGCCCTCGACTTCGCCTCGGGCCTCCAACTTTACCGTCCTGAAAAACTCGTCGCACTCGTATCGAAATATACTATTTTCCGGGTTGTTGGAGTTGTGTGGAGTTGCTAACTGAGCCAAACGCGAGGGCTGGTCAACCGTACGAGTAAAAAACCCCATCGCACTAGTCTAATGTTACCAAATTTATGAAGTATGCAATACCAATTCCCAGACGAGAAATTGGGAGACGCAGTGCGGAAAACTAATATTCTACTTATTTTTGCTCCATTTTTCACAAAACCCCCCAAACGAATCTAAACGAATCTAACATTGTGGAGGAACTCATTCCATATCCGAAACTAAAATTCAAAGTAAATAGATGTCCCAATAATTTTTCAAAATTCTTCCAGTCTTGATAGGTAGTCCACTAGTTCTAGAATTATGGCAAATTTTTTTTATATTTTCGGTGCAAACAATCGAGAGCATTAAATCCGGTAAAATTGCGGCAATAGTAATAGCACTACAAAGCAATCGCTGAAGGTTCTTCATTACCCCACAGGAAAAAATTACAGAATTTTTTAATAGCCGCAACTCTATTTATATCAAATACTTCCACCTAATATGTTAAAATAGATTTTACCTCCCAAAAAAATTTTATTCTATACGAAACAATGACCAATTGTTTTTTACTTCGTCTGTCCAATACTCAAACGCAAGAAATTAAATCTTTAATGAAATAATAATCACGATATGATCGCAATCCTGGAATTTATTAGCAAAATATTCTTTTGTAATACTTGCCTGAAGTTCACTTCTTGAGTTGATTTAGCGCGTAAAAAAATTTTCGTGTGAAGCAAAGCTTGCCGCACTCGAAAATCACTTCTGCGCACGGCCTTGGATTTTGCCTACTACGTATACAAAAACAATCATTTCACCCCCACTACCGCCCTGAACAGTCAACTCGGCAGGTTTTGACAAAAAAGTATGTGTTACGCGTGTGTGCGCAAAAGTATTACTTCAATCGCATGTACCAGAATATACTATTGTGTAATACCTGCTTGCAAAATTACCTTTCCGACACATTTTAGTGTGCGGGAAGCACTTGTTTTCCGAACAGGATGCACAAATTCCAAGGTTCGCTTTACGCACTTGAATTGTGAAATCAAATGAATTCAATTCAGTAGTGAAGTGGTCAATCGGTTTAAGTCGACTTAGCTCCCAGTCGAGTTTTTGTTGAATAACTCGGAATTTAGGAAACCGAAATTTTTGTAAGATCTTTTTTCATAGTCTTCACTTTTCTTTGCAAAAAAGATTTCTAGGAAAATTTTGCTAACTCCTTTCGAATTTGAGATATTCATCGAGAACTGGCGCTAGAATTGAATTGACTTAAACCATTTGACCACTTCACTATTGAATTGAAATCACTTGCAATCGGTAAAATTTCATGAAATCATGAAATCGGCAACTCATAGGACCCTTTCGAATACATAAAAGAGAAGGAAACTTTCGACTTATTTGTGTATTCTTCTACATATCTCCATTTACGTTTATTATTTTTATTTTAAAATTCTGGAACTTCAACCAATAACTACTCATATTTATGTGGCCATTGCTCAATATCGCCAGACAATCCCCCCCCCCATGGATACCAAGAAAGGCTTACAAATAGATGAAAAGATATATAAAGAAATTATTAAATTTTCCGATTTCGAAGTCCGTTCATTACTTATCAGAGTGGAGAGTTCAATTCGTTTATGTGAATATGAAATGTACGTTGTTCTCCATTTTATTTAATAAATAGATATTTTATCGAATGAATGAAAAAAAATTGTGTGATTCGTATGACGTATTCATTTTGCTGGTTTCATCCCTGCATTCACCGACTTTGTAACTCTCATGCTTGAGCTTTCTTGCATTAATATGATGCATTTCTATCCCTCAGGGTTCTATTCTCATTCCCTCCTCCTCCACAAAATAGCTGAAATCGAAAATTTTAAATCACTTGAAATCGCCTGAAATCACCAAAAAAATCCCAGGCAATCACATGAAATCAATGGTTCCATGAAATCACGGAAATCTCCCTGAAATCATGTCAAATCAGCAATCAGTGTGTCAATCACTGTGTGCCCTTCGGAAAAAACAGTGGCTTCACTAGTGCCCCAAAGGATGAAATCGGCAGATTTTACAAATTTGTTTGAAATAGTATATTTCGTCATTAGGCCGAAAAAAAAATTTCTGGCGAATATGAGTTTGCAATCCGAGCCGAAGGCGAGGGATTTACATTAAAGAAGGAAATTTATAGAGGGTTCCACATCATTGTGACATCATAGGAAATGATTGGATGGAATTTCGATGAGGTAGGAAGGGGACCGGGATTATTCTCAATATGAATAATCAGAAAATTTTTGTACTGAAAAAAATGGATGGTCTAGATCCGTATTTGAACCCGGGACCTTCCGATTATGCATCGTGTGCTCTCCCAACTAAATTATCCCGAACTCGAAGGCGAGGGCTGCAATCATATGAGCTAGAAAAGTTTTTTTAGACCGTGTGACGAACAATATTTTTCGTCATAACGGCTGCAGGCAGTGAAGCGCTGCTTTACGACCGGAATGACAAAAACTTTTTTTTTTCTCTCAGTATAGTCCTCTCAACCCTGCAAACCGCAAAACTTGCCTGAAAACCTCGAAATTTTCTGTTTAGGCCATGGAGTGTCCTGCGAGACGAATGGCCCCACGTGTGTAATTCTTCTCTCGAGAATCGCCTAAAATCGCCGGAAAAAGTGCGTCACTCTCCCGAAAAACCCGGAAACAATGTACAATGAGCTACAGCGGGAATATGCCAGACTGGCATCAGTATAATCCCCCTCAGCCAGGACGTACAACAGCGACGTCCCAACCTCAGAATGCCACCTCGTCACACCACTTCATCTCCAGTATTAGCCCTTCAGCGCTGGACGGAATAAACCTCTCATCAGCCCAACCACCGTCTCTAAAACACCAGCAAAATGAGGTCAACTACCCTCGCAACTACTCCGCCTCGACTCTCCCAGGTCCCTGTCCCACAAGCACCTCCCTGCCTACCCCAGGGCACATTCCCCCTCTCCCAAACTGCCCGGGGCACTATGGGACCTCCTCCCGACCTTCAATGATAGATCCTCCTTCCTTGCACCCTCCACTCCCTATCCCTGAACCTGAACTGCCTCACAGAACCCCCCAGATGCCCTTCTCCGCCTCCTCCACCCATCCAAACACAAGCTTAACAGTGAACCCCAGCCTCCACACAGGGGGTCTCACCGCTCAGACTTCTCCAGTGGCTCCTCTCTCTCCAGGAAGACAAGCCTTCGCATGCAAGCTCCCCTGCTGCAATCCTGACACCCAAATGGCCTATCAGCACTGGGAAAAGTACAACCACTACCAGAGCAATTCGACCTACCGGGAAAATCTCCAGAGACCAACTTACCCAATGGAGACCCGACGGTACGTCCCAGAAATGAACCTGCGAAAAGACTGCGCGGAGAGTAAAGAGCACCCAGGCACATCCTTTCCAGGGAGCTCATTGGACCATCGACGACCCTACGACTACAAATATCGGAAGGAAATGTCGAGAAATTATTCTTCTGGAATGCACCCCACATATCAAATGCCGAACTACAATTTCCCGAGTGATTGTCAGAAGTGTCCACACTCGGTGAAAGACTACATGAGACGGAGTGGAACGTCTTCGTCGATGAACCAGCAGAATCAACAGATGATGAAGTATCCAGAGCAGCAAATGCCCCAGAAGTACAATTCCAAATTGAATTATCAAAATGGAAGTCATCAGCCTGGAATGCCAGCAACCAGCACAGCGAATCTTCCATCCTCCCTTCAAAATTCTTACTTCAATTCGCCGATATCGAGGGACGTACCCCGAGAGTTTCCCCGGGAGTATCAGGAAGCGAACGCAAGCAACAGGATGCCCCCCGGAAATCCCCCGATGATGCATGGTAGTTACCAAAAGTACCACGTCTACCAGCAGAAAATTGCGATGCAGAGATTCTCCCTGGAGAATCATTTGAGGGGAATATCGAGGGTTCCAGGGTACCAGTCCCACCCGAAGTATCAAGAATGGATGATGAGGTATCGAGAGATATTGAGGCTCCAACAAAATGTTGACTGTCAGAATTTCCTGCAGGAGCCGAAGATCCCTCCGACGAGTCCAAACGCTCCAGTCCCACCGATTAACCTGCAGTTCGATCAAAACGGATGCCTCATCAACTCCTCTTTCGCCCACAGTCATTACCCGGGAATGCATAATCCAGTGAACCCAGCACCCAATGCAGAAACCTCAGAGTCATCACAACAAGCCCCGGGTAACGTGATAAATCCCCTGGAGCAGAACCTCTACAAACACCCAGACCAATCGATGAGCTTGCCACGAGATGAGGCCCTCCATCACCTCCCCAACAACGTACCTGGCCACTATCAAATACCAGAGAATCCGAATGATAACTTCGAGAACATGATCGTCGATGTAGACAGCATAGACCCAACGAGAACGATGACAGCAGGCACCGACACAATGTCAACGACAACAGCCTCGACAGCTGACCTAGCAAATTCCAGAGAATTCACTGACAAACCGCAGTTGGACGTGCGACAGTTTCTCGCTAATTGGGACGAAACGGAGGAGGAGGAGGGGAATGCCAACACACAGGAAGTATCAAATAACTCGAGTTCAGTTATTGCGAGAAATATGAGGGAGGCGAATGCACAGAGTCATAACAGCAAGGTGCCTAGTCTCCGGGAGAGCCAAATACCGATGCAGAATCAGAACCAGAACCAGAATCAGAACCAAAACACGAATGCCAGTCTAAATCGGGGTCAAATGCAGAGTCAGATTCAGAATGAGCACCAAACGACGTTGGACACATCGCCAGTTGCCCCAAATCCCAACACAAACCCGAAGACAGGTGTAATTGGAGCAACTGAGGTGGAGAACATGGCGTCAAATGGATTGAAGACCATCGAAGATTTCACTAGCTCCGGAGCGATAGTCCAGTGCATTCAAACTGACAGCAGTGATATTCCAACGATTCACATTGTCGATCATTTGCCTCAAGACTCGGAATTAGCAACAATTCAGACTGTCTACGGTGACGTGACGTCTTTGAGTATCGAACAGATAGCATCAGCCCCAATGGAGATCATCAACGACAATCAGGAGGCTGAGGAAACGATCACTCTATTTGGCCAAGACACCGGGGTGTGCTCAAAAGAGCCAGTGTGCTCCAACGAAGAGCCTAAGGAAGCTTCAGCTGCTATCGAACAGGTGGGCTCGATGGAGCCTTCACCCTCCTTGAGGAGTCCTGTCAATTTGACGACTAATAATGTGAGTAATAACAGTGGGAGTAGCCCTATGGAGACTCAGCAAGATCCTCCACCACCTCAGGACACTGATGAAGCCCCTCAGAAGAGTCAAACAAGTGCGGCAACTCCTTTATCAACATCTTTAACAACTTCCCTAGCAAGTTCATTGAGGAAACAACACAGTTTTGCGAGTGAGGAGTCTCACAATCCGGACGACATCAGTCTCCCAGATCTACCAATGTCCGAGTGCACTCCAATATCAACTACCCTGAATACTCCGATACATTCAGACAGTGAAGAGTCTTCTGGGCACGTGGAGAACCTCTCAATATCCACGAATCCTATAGAGATAATTCAAAATTCTCCAATAATAAGCTTCACCCATTCCCCCTTGAAAACTGATCCCTACAGTAATCTTGAGACTAACAGATTATCAGAAAAACGTCCACACGATTCTCTGGGCTTTGATTTCGGTGGTAATTCGAGTAACAAACCGGCGGAGATCGAGAGCTTCGAGATTGCCAGAAGATCGTCATCAGAATCTCGTCCATCATCTTCGAAGAGTCCAGAGAAGAGTGACGATCACCTAAAAGTGCCTTCGTTGAATGACCCTGACAAGTCTGATAAGGATCAGGAATTTTATCCATCGTCTGATCCTGTAATGGGAATGAACAAAACAAAAAAGAATTCAACCGAGATAACAGACTCATCTAACGATATTACCCAAGTTGGTGAGTGTTCAGTGGCTTCATTAAATAATAATGCAGCGCCAGGTACTCCAGTCAGTCGTATTTTATCAACTGATGAGATCGACACTGGCAAATGTCCATCAATTATTGATACCGAGGACTTTCAGCCTACGGATGACCTCGATAAACTGTGCAATATATCACTGGATAGCTCCTGCATGATGCCATTAATACCGGAGGACTCTCAGGGGCCCAGACTGTCAGCTGTTACGATCGATGGTCTCACAAACGTTCTGCCAATTACTAATTTGGATGAACTTGACTCGTCTGACGACGAGGATAAGGATAATAATGAATGGGTGGAGGTTGGGTCAATGGACGGCTGTGCAGAACCCAACAGTGCTAATGATATGATAATCATGCCAAATGAAAATCCAAGTATTGAAGTTACGTTACGAGAGACTGAGCACGTGAGTGAGGATAAACAAGGAAAGAGTAAACCTGAAAAGACTAAATACATTCGTTCGATATTTGACACCTCTGAGGATTCGCAGAGCACTGGGTTCGATGGTTTTATGAGGAGGCGGGAGGAGAGAAACACCAAAGATGTTTTGAACGCATTAACTGAATACAGAAGAGACAGACTAAATATTCTGGAGAATGTAAATAACACTAAAAATCAAATGACCAGCGAAATTGTGTTTGCCGAGCCTCAGGCTGATAATCAGCGTGTTGACTCATCAATTATCAGACGGAGATCCTTCGAAGAACCACCAAGAGAGACGCAAAAAGAGTCAACCACCGATAAAGACCAAATAATTCGAAAGAACGAGTCTTTGAACATCGACGTCTGCAAAATAACGCAGAGTTTTCGGAGAACCCACAAGGATACGGGTGTTGAAATCCACGTGGCGAACATAAATGTTGAAAAACTGTGCAGCTCCACTAGTGAACAAGTGGATGCTATTGAAATAAAGATAAACGTATCGAGGCACGACAAGAAACGTCGATTCAAGGGCCTAGAAAAATCGGAGGAAAGAGTGAATGAAATAAAGAAAAGTTATTCTACAAAATTTGAAAATGGAAATTATCGGCCTCAAAAGATATTTCCTCGCCGAAGAATATCGAATCCTGAAGCGACAGTACCGAAAACATCAAGCAAACATGTTCGAAGGAGGCACAGTGGGGGCCACTATCGATCCCACCGAAAATCTACTGAAGAGAGAAACCTAGAGAGAAGTCGATTGGAGTGCCTTCCAAAGCTCCAGCCTCTTCCAAAATCGTTGAACAAATCGGAAACGAGTGAGATGAGTTTCTCGGAGGGTCCAGTCTCCTCCTACGACGACTCTCAGATCTCCACAGGGATCTCTGTGCCCACAGAAGCCCCAAACACCTGCGACAGTCAATGTACGGAGGAAGAAAGTCCTTTTGGAGACATGGAAATGTCGAAGTCGAGAAACCCAAGTCGAAGAGCTTCATTAGACTACGAGAGCTTCGCCCCAGAGTTCGATGAGCTGGAGAACATGGCCTCGAGGTCATCCCAGTCAAGACTGCCTGAAGCCTCTCTACTGACACCTCTCGTAACCCCGGGACCATCAAACACATCCCAAACCGACGACCTCTGGTCCAAAATGAATTTCTCCATCGACACATCAGCCATGGACTTTGATAACTTCGACGTGGCTCCCAACGATAATGTCAATAACTTCCCTATTGAGGACAGAACCTCCTCGTCATTGACAGAAGATCGTGCCTTGAGTAGAAGATTAGAAGAGTGTGAGAAATTCAGGAATCCTTACTCGAAAACTCCTGGTAACGAGTCTCCAGAGGTGAACCTCAATGCAGTTCCCATTTACACAACCAAAGATGGTAAAATAAAATACAGCCCTAATCCCAGGTACACATACAGGGTTCTGATAATGGAGGGGAGACAACGAGAGGGATTACCTCGTGATTTTTTACGAGATAATCCTTTCAGTGAAAAAGAAACGAAAGATCATCAGGGAAAAGGATTGCAAAAACGAAAGCATGAGTCACCGAATAAGGAAGAACGAAGGAAATACTGTAGTGAGTACAGTGCAGTGAGATTGAAACAGTCATTATCAAGGAGAAAATTAGATGATTCCTCCTGGAGGACCAATAGATCGAGTAAATACGACAGATGGAGAGAACGACCTCCAGAACTGGAGAGCGATGAAGTCTCGATTGAATCCAGTAAGTCAGAATCTCATAATATTTTTTTAGGGAGGAAACCGGAGGGATTGAACACTGGAGAGGATTTGACTGGTACCTCGAAGAGAAAGAGTAGTTCAAACTCTGATGGTGAGCGAGGAGTCGAATGTCTAATGGTTGGTTCGATAAACAATCTCTCGGTTGTGAGCCAGGACTCGAGAACTGAGGTGATATTAAACAGTGCGAAGTGTGTTGAAACTAGTATATTCAATGGAGACGAATTGGAATTGTTTTCGAGGAATGAAACACCTGAGAAGGTGGATGGAGACCAGAGTGCAGTGGAAGAACCAAAAGACACACCATTGAACAATTTTGAGGAAATTGTTGAGGATAAAATAATGGATATTGAGAAGAAGAGGAGTGATCTGGTACCTGAATTGAGTGATGAGGAGAGCAAGGACCCCAAGGATGTGATTGAATTTTTTAAACCACCTTCTAGTGTTGATATCGAGCAAGATTCTCAAGCTATTTTAACCGACAGTGGCCTTGAATCATCCACGACGTACACTGAGGGTACTAAAGAGCCTAAACGATTGTCAATATGGCAACGAGAGATGATTTCAAATTCCGAGAGGAATTCAATAGTTAGAAGATTCGATAAACATCCGGAAATCATCTCTGAGACCAAAAATTTAGAGTCCGAAGGCGATAAGAAAGAGAATATAGAGGAGAATATAATAGATATAAGAGAAGAGTCCAAAGATGAAGACAAAGATGAAGTTGAAGAAATTATCAATGACAGAATGGAGGAAACAATTCAGAGGGATGAGGAAATTGTTGAAAAAATTAGCGAGGTTCCAGAATGTGATCTTTCTCGCCCGGAAAATCGTGAAGAAGTTGAAGAACCAAAAATCCCCGACATAAGGAATCTAGAGGCGTTATTCCCAAGGAATTGCCAGAATAATTTTGAAAGTAATATTCTTAAAGGTTTGGACTTGGCTTTTCCAAGTCGACGAATTGCGAAGCTCGAGAAACCAAAAATTAGCATCGAGATTGTAAGAGAAGAGTCAACAATTAATGAGGAAAGTGCGTCCAAGCCTGTGAGAATATTCGAGGGACATTCGTCAAGCATCTCTTCAAGTAGAAAATCCGAAGTGCCTTCTAGGAGAGCGTCGAGCGACGAAATGAACAGCTTTAGAGAGAAAATTCCCTCTTTCAAGTCGAAATTCGAGTTTTTACCATTGAATAGATTATTCTGCGACTTCAGACCGATCGAAAAAAATGATAACATCCCAGAGGAGCGGCAGAACGTCGAAATGAGAGAAGAAGAACAAAAACCACAAGACAAAACGTCAACGAGAATCATTGGGGATTCCCAGACAACTGCGCATCGATTTGAAAAGCCAGAAGTGCCTCCAATAAATCCAGTCAAACTCTCCGCAGTTCCAGCGCACAAAATCACCCAAGTGGATACACCTGAGATCTCTACAGAGTCAGAAGTCTCGACTTTCGAGGAGACTCTCAGCTCCACTCAATTCGGAAGCGAATACGCAGCGTCTAAACAGGACGAGGGCAGCAGCACTGGAGTAAACTTTCTGTCAACTTCGAGTCAAGAAGCTATTGATGCCACTGACCTTAAGGAGGTGCGGAAGAACCTCGCGTTATGTGCCTTGGACGACAAATCAGAGACAATCGTAAATTCAATGAGAAGTCCTCAAAATAAAAACGACGCGCGAGAGAAAATTTTAACATTCTCTGGACGAAATTCTTCGGAGAGCGAGGACGATTCAAATGCTCAGGACGGATCACCAATCGGAAAAAACTTCGAAGAAGAAGAATCGAGACACGATAAAAATCAGGATAACGTGCTGAATTTTTCGGGGAAGATTCAGAGTCCACAGGCTCCGTCAGAGTCGCATACCTCTTCCCCCGCTCGGGTAGAGTTACCTGAAGAAACAGAAGAAGCCAGTAAAGTTTTGAACTTCTCCGGAAAAATACCGAGTCCCAAAAATTCAGAGGATTTCTCCCCAAAGTCTGATCATAAATTAGAGCCAAGCTCAAACAAAAATGAAGAAATCGAGAATCTAACATTCGCGGGGAGAATTCAAAGTGAGAGTCCTCCAAAGAGCCCAACGACCTTCGACAAGATCCCAAAGTTCATCATAAAAAAGACTGACTGCTCATCGAGATCCTCCTCGATCTCCCAGATATTTCCCTCTGACATATCAGCCCAGCGGAGTTTCGACAATTGTGCGTCGTCCTCCCACAGGCTATCACACCCAAAGATACCAAAGATGATAATAAGAAACGTGAGATCTCGCCCTGGTACTCCAACGATAGAGGAAAACGCTGTGGAACTGTCTTTCCCGAAGACCAATGAGTCTGAAAATCAGAAGATCTTCGAAGTGAAAATCAAACTCGATGATAAATCCTCCAAGATCGACACAGACACCCCCATCCGCAAATCCCTGGGTATAATCGAGTGCAAAGTCCCAAGGATGAAGATCAAACTCGAGGACAAACACTCCAAAATGACTTTCGAGCACGCCTCGATGGAACTATCAGGAAACGACTCAGAATCCTTCACCAACGTTCCGAAATTAAAAATCAGAAAGATAAGAAAATCATCTCCCCCTCGCGATAAGAAAATCACAGTATCATCAAAAGATAAACTCGACAGTCGTTCCACCAAGCCCATGACTCTCACAGAATCGAGTGTATCAATGAAAACGTCTCCCCGTTCTTCTGAAATTTCCGAAAAACTCCTGGACAAAATTCCGAAACTGAAAATAAAGAAGCACGAGTCGAGGAAGTCCTCCCCATCCCCAGAACCCTCGAGGAGAAAACGTCCAAGAAGTCCAGTGGAGTCATCGTCAAAACGTTCAAAGAAATCCTCGAATCGTCATTACTCTGCAGAGCCTCGAGATCCCGGACCCTCCCCCATTGACCTTGAAACAACGACCAACTCCACCACAGGTCTCTCCGAGAAGATCCCCAAGGTGATAATCAAACGAGCCTCATCCACGTCAGAGTTCAAGTGCGAACTGAGTAAAGATGGAGCTGAGGGGATTATCAGGAACTCCAGATGGCAGCCAGAGGTAAAATTGGAGCGCTTCAAGGTCTTGGATTCAATAGCCAAAGAGCAGGGAAGTGTACATCTACCTGTTCACATATTGGAGGAAGTAACGAGATCGTTGGAAGCTGACGAGCGCTCGAGGAACTTGAGGAAATTCAAAAGAACGTCTTCTGTTCCCTCTAGAAGAGGTGACGAGTCTGACAGGTCTTCCAGCAGGGGCAGAAGACGATACTCTGACCCGGAAAAGCAGCAGTGTTGTCACGTCAATGACTCTGACAGTGAGTCAGATCTTCCAAGGGTAGCTCGAAGAGGCTTCACGAGACGCCTCCAAGACCTCTCAAGTCGAGAAGAAAGCCTAGACACTAGATCCGAATTTTTGGCGTTAATCTCGGCGATAAAAAAGTCACCTCAGAAAGAAGAAACTCGGCGACCAATCGTGGATCGTGAAGAGGTCACCAGAAGTGAGATGGAGTACCCCAGAATCAGTTCTAGTCACAGACCTTTGAAGAGCAGCCCCCAGAAGCCAGTGACACCGTTAGCAACAGCAGAAAGTGTCATTGATGCTGCTGCAGACACAAAAAGCTCGGAGGATCAATCTGTTATCAAACTCGAGTCTTCTGACGAAAGTCAAACGACTATAGAGATGCTTCCAGCGTCCTCAGACATCTCCCAGCCAGAGTCTGAGGTTCCAACGCCTCTCGAAGGTGAGAGGAGAATAGCAAACGGTGACATGGCGAGGTTGTACTCATCCGACGCAATTCCAACACAATTTGAACTCGAACTGGAGATCGTTGACAACTCTTCAGGGTCTATGGAGATTCCCGTCCCTGGAGTCCAGTCATCACCGTCCAAGGGGCACGACAAATACTGGAATTATCAACAGGAGTGTTCGCCACCTGATGTTCCTGGACCGAGTTTTCTCGACAACAATCATAAAAATGGATCAGAACACGTTCACAGCGAAGCTCAGAGCATTTGCTCCTCCGATTCGCTGGTGAAGGATGTTCTTGCTGCCAAGGAAACCTTGAAGAGGTACTTAGCATCGTCCAAACAGGTGCCTAGTCCTGCTCCGAGGATGAAGACTGCTGCTGAGAAAAAGCAGTTCTCTGTTTTGGAGTTTCCAGGGCTTTCAGGGAAGGAGGAACGAGTTAAGGGCGAGGAGGAGAGGAGGGTCTTCCAGAAGAGTGTGGGGACGTCTAGGGATGCTTCTAGGGTGGAGGTGTCGAGGTCTAGGGAGAGGGAGAGATCAAAAAACAATAGGAGTTCCGCGTCTTCAGAGAAGAAGGAGCATGCGGGGCGGAGGGAGGATTTGAAGGTTTCTGATAAGGAAAAAAGGCATAAGTCTAGTCGTGATTGTACAAAAGAGTTGAAGAGGGAGAGAAGTCACAGTGGATCGAGCGAGTCGAGCGCCAAGAGGATGAGGCCGCCTTCCACCTCGGGATCGTCGAGAAGAGAGTCCACTAGCAAGGCTGAGAGGGTGCGGACGAGTGATGGAGTGAGCAGGAGCCATAAGAGGGAGAACTCGTCGAGATCTCATGAGGAGGGAAGGAGGGACACCAAGAGGATCAGTGAGGCGATGCCGGTGTTGGTGCCCGAGGGGGGCATTGTTATTGAACCGAGCCTGAGGGAGACGTCCAGGTCTCCACCTGTCATCACGAAGCAGGAGAGCAGTGAACTGAACCCAGAAAGCCCGAAGAAAGTGGAGGAGGGTGTCAGGGAAAAGATTAGGGAGATTATCGAACAGGAGAGCGAGGGGATGACGTTTGCTGATATTGTTACCAAGATGGCTTATCATGAAAAGGTAAGTTGGAGGGAGATGTCAGATGTTTAATGGATTGATTAGTTGGTTTGTGATTGTTGAGGTGGTTATTTCAATCGGTGGACAACCGAATTCATTAAGGGGAGACTACTATGAGTTTTAAAAGTCGTGGGCGATTGGAGTGAGATTTCTCATACATTGAAGATCGATTATATATGTCTAAAAATGAATAATTAGTGCAAAACAATTAATTGTTTATTGTTCATTTGCTCCGCATATGCTTAAAATGTTGAAAATAGTCGAGGGCCTCCAATTTTTCAGCTACAGAAAAAATAAAGAAGCACGTTTCTTTTTTCTTCAAAATTTTCGAAAAATTGTGTGCAATAATAGTAAAGAGTCCTCCAAAGAGCCCAACGACCTTCGACAAGATTCCAAAGTTCATAATAAAGAAGACTGACTGCTCATCAACAGCCAGCACTGCTTGTGTGTAAAAAAATAAAGAGGCACGTTTCTTTTTTTTTCAAAATTTTCGAAAAATTGTGTGCAATAATAATTACGAATTAGTTTTTTGAAATTGGACTCGTACACAGATAATTCCGGTTTCGTTAAAATAAAAATTTGCGTCATTCATGTAAAATAGACAGAAAAATAAGTTTTAAAATATTTAAAATGTACTCTCGATTCCTTCAGAAACATTTTTTGGGCTATTTTACATGAATGGTGCAACTTTTTATTAAAAAAATAACGAAATTAACTGTGTAGGAGTTGAATTTCAAAAAAATAATTCGTAATTGTCATTACATACAATTTTTCAAAATTTTTGAAAAAAAGAAAATTCTGTAACTCAAAAATTGGAGGCCCTGAAATCGTACATTCGTAGAAGGTGAGAATTCAATACATGGCTGAAATAATGTGTTGTGAAATCCTTTCGTTTTTGTCATCTATTAGTTCTTTATTTTCCAGATAATTAATTTCCCTTCGATGTTTTAGGCAACAATAAAACACAAAAGATACTGCATACTTTGTGAAAGATGGTTCCCAACAACAGCAAGGCACCGAAGGCATTTAAGTGGATACCAGCATCGTCATACAGAGCTCACTCAACGCAGAACCGTCCATGCACTATTTATGCTGTTCACTGGAAAGCCATGTCCAAGATTACTGCCCGCTAGTATCGTTAGAACTGACTGTGCACCTGGAGAGGCAACGCCACTTCAAATCGCCGTTCAGGTAAATTGGCATTCTCTCTTAATGTCCGGAGTAAAGTTGCGAAACCCAATGGATCTATTCATCTTATTGCCTTAATTATCGAATTATCTCAACTGTAAAAATATTTTTTGAGAATTCCTGTTCAAGTTTTTCATTATCAGAGTTATGAATAAAAAATGAAGCTATATATATATTTTTCTTCATTTGGTAATTATATCAGAAGCCATTGGGTGTCTTTTAAATTTATTGTACATTATAGGAAAAATTTTAATGGACATTTTTGTGCGGAGACACTCATTGAGATAATTGAATAATTAACGACAATGACACATTCAACCTGATAGGTTTCAACACGTCATTATAGATTCATTACGTCATTACAAATTAACGATAGCCCAACACGTCATTTTTTTCCTCAAACTCCAGAATTAACAGCATTACCAGACATTTTGCAATGATTTAAACGTAACTATAATTTTAACTATTTGAAGTCTGAATATGGCCTTGTATATTGAACTGTTAGAGAACATTTAAAAAAGGGGAAGCATTGATAATGAAAGAACGCCGTCGTTAAGAATTCACAACTTTTCTCACAAATGACTGATAACCAATAAACTTTTATCGCAGAGATTTTTTCTTCTTCAAGTCCCTAGTTCCAATTTGTTCGAAGTTCAGTTAAGGTTATTTATCTCTCCCGAGAATGGAATTTATTTTAAGTTCGAGGAAAATCCATCTCACTCCTATAGGCTGTATTTCCAAATCTAGAATTCACCTACTGGAAAAATTAAAAAAATAGGAATAAAATTAGAGGGTAAGTGAATTTCGGGCTGGTGAATTAAAATTTTTATCGACAAGAACTAGATAACTGTGTTCATCGTACAAAAATCCGAGTGCTTGCGCTGTTGGATAAATATCCTTAATCCATATTCATAATGTCACAAGGGAATTACTACCACAAGAAATAATGAGGTTTCCCAAAGTTGAAACTTCTATAATTTATTCACGCGAAGGGAAGATTTGAAAACCAACTATTATGTAACAAAATCTGATTGAAAAATTAGATACTTGAAAACCTCAATATTTTTGGTGTAGGGTATACAAACCTGCGAATGCCACTCGGATTACCTGAAAAAAAATCGAAACAGATGAAAATTAATGCAATAAATTTTTGTTTTCTTCTCCCAACAGGACGTAGCAATAAGTCTGGAAAAGGGCGCTGTAGACAAGACGAAAAAATTAAATGAGGAGGATAAATGAATAAAATGTAAGTAGAGAATACAAATACAACTGGGGTCGGTGATTTTAGTTGACTAGCCAAAGATATTAGGAAATGAAATCAATTTAAAACGGGAATACAGGTTTTTCCAATGTAAGAAAATTATAAAAAGTGAAACAAAGTGAAAACGACAAAAAAAGAATATATATTAATTGTACAAAATGAAATGTTACGTGGGCGTTCGTGGGACTGTGCTCGACGAGTCTTATTAAACACATTATATTCTACAATGGATATATATATATTATATATACATATTACAATTTATATTTATTACGGTGATTTCCGAACGGACTCACTGGATATATTATACGCATACACGCAGGTATGCACGGGTTATACACGTGTTTTTAAGTAAATATTATGAATTATTAGTTGATCAATGATCACTGGGACAATTCGTGAGCCATGAAAGGGACACGTTTCTAAAATCATTATTCACCATTTCTTACCTTTTTATTTGAGATAAGGGCGAAAAATCACCTCGACACGAAGTTTTTAATACAGTTTAGTCTTTCTGAAGGAATGTTTAAGCACATTCTTCGTTTTTAATAAGCACGAGTGCCTTAATCATTTGAAACAGTATTTCCTCATGATTTAAAAGACATGAACCAGAAATTGTTCACAAGATTATTTTTCAAAAAATAATCTATAAATTAAAAATTTGACTTTGAGCACTTAATGCATTCCCATTATTGTGAAAGACTTTTTCAAATTATAAATGTGAATCTCCACGCAAAATTGAGGTTTTAATTAAACATGGAGTTATTGTGAGAAAATTAAGACTAGCTATTAACAAGTACAAAGTTGACCACCAGATTTTTTTTTAGTGTAAATTTTCAATTTTCTGGAAAAATTGGTTTTAATGATACATCACGTGGAAAATTGATATTTTTGCATACACGTTCGCTTTGTAATGAATATATTCCTCTTGAGAATGGATAATAATGCCTAAAAACGTAAACCAATGTGACCTTATAGAGAAAAATAATATTGTCATAATAATAAACATATATAAAAATTCTATATTTCAAGATTGAAACTATTTTTGATGGCTATCGGTTTGCCAAATGCTAGTGTCGAATTGAGATGCTCCAATTAAAGATTTACTCTTTGAATGAAACAAATATAATTCAGGGGTGAAGTGGTGAGAACAGAATATGTGAAATAAATCTGGAAAAAGACAAATTAACAAAATTGGGAAAATTCATCATAGCACCCTTTTTTAGATTTTACTGTCTGCGGATAGGCTTCTTGATATTTTTTCGGATCTTCTCATCTTCTGTTCTTTCCCACTTCACTACGAAATGAGGAGAAAAATAAAAAATCTGTAATTGTGCATTTACATATTAAACCAAAACAGAGTGAGAAAAATCTAAAAAATCTATATTCATTGATTAAATAAACACACACAACACTGGTTTCACTAGGGACTAGAGGGATTTTGGGAATTCAATGATTAGATGTGTTAACTAACGGTTGTTGTGCGTTCGATGTGCCTAAATTAGCAAAAAAGGAAAAGGAAAATTTATAAATAGTAATATATATTGAGAAGATGATTAATATATTATAAATATATATTTGTACACATGTACAAAAAAACATTATGTACGGTTTGAGTGATGACCGTATCAGAACTGTTATCGTGATTCGTACGTGCCGTATGCCCTAAATATAACAGGATTTTATTGATCAAATGATTGAATTAAATAAACATATGGGGGAAATAATTCAGCAGAGAAATGGTGAAACGTAACAGAACGAGTAAATTTTTCATGTCTCGTTAAATATCAAGTTGACAGAACGAACGTTTTCGGACTGTCAGGTAATTATTAATAATAATTATTAATAATGAAATTTCGATTGGTTGTACATCATTCTGAAAATATGCGGTTTTATCAGAAAATATCAAAAGATATGAGGTATTCATATTCCGTGCCAAATGAGTCAACGGCTGACCCTCACCCTCTTGGAAATTGATCTCGATTTTTTCTGCGATTGGGGGCTGGAAAAACTATCTCTCAATTTTTTTTAGATTTTTTCGACAGCCCATTTGGAAGATATGATTTTTTCTTTGTTTTCCCGTTTTCTTTTAATAACTCATGTTCTATTCATCCGATTTTTATTTGTGATAAGTCAAAATATTAGATTTTCTATCATCTATAAGAATATTTTTAGTAATTTTGTTTTCAATCGCTAGGTGTTTACAATACCGTCTTTTCAAAAAAAAATTTAAAAACCTAATTTTTAAAAATTATGTCACGGTTTATTTTTCTCGTTTTTTTTCTCGTTTTTTTTCAGTAACTCTTGTAATCAAAACAAGTATTTTGAGCCGTCATACAAGTTGGATTTCGTCCTAGATCTATTTTATTTTCAATTTTTTCTTCTCGCAACTCCATGAATTTGGTCACAATACCCCGAAATAGTGTTGATTCACTTTGATCATAAACCGTACGAAGTGAATTAAAATGTATACTTATATATTACATTTTTTTTTTATACAAAAACGAAGTCGTTGGGGGTGTTGTGACCAAATTCGCGAAAATTCGAGAAGAAAAAATTAAAAATAGAAAAGATTTAGGACGATACCCAACTTGTATGATGGCTCAAAATATTTGTTTTGATTATAAGAGTTACTGAAAAAAAACGAGAAAAATAAAAGGTGACGTAATTTTGAAAATTCAAAGTTCTCAAAAATTATTTTTTGCATTTTCGGTACTATCAACACCTAGGGATTGAAAAAAAAATACCCAAAATCTTCTTATAGATGGTAGAAAATGGAAAATTTTAACGCGTCATAAATAAAAATCGGCTGAATAGAACCCGAGTTGTGGAAAAATACCAAAAAACAAAGGAAAAATCATATCTCCCAAAATGAACTGTCGAAAAAATCTGAAAAAATTTAGAAATAGTTTTTCTAGCCCCCCACTCGTAGAAAAAATCGAGATCAATTTCCAAAAGGGCGAGGGCAGTCGTTGACTCATTTGACATGGAATACCTTATATACATCTACCTTTGAGTCTACCCATAGCCGAAAAATCTGATTCTAACTTCGGGGGATAAAATAAAGAGCCCTTACCCATGTGCTTACCATTCCGCATGTGGCCACGACTTCTTTATTTTACCTCCCTAGGTGTAAAATATACGCAAATGTTCCGCGGTTGAGGGTAACTTTCTCCTAATTTTCTCACCTTTAAGATAAACGATAATTAACCGAAATTCTTCATCACCTTATTACGTCTTGCCACTTCTGTATTGAATTAAAAGCTACCTTTTTTCGAAGTTACCTTGTTGGTTGAATCTTTGTGATAGATGATTGCTGATGCTCTCCGGAGGTCCCAACCCTAGCGAATGAACACCTTGAATCCCAATTCTGCCCTGAACTCATTTCTAATCCAAAGAACCATTTTATAGTCATAAATACATTAGTGTATCGATAAAATGAGAGGAGTCAATTTTACATTAATTACAATTTTTAAGTAGTAAAATATTGGTGGGAGATATTTCTGGAGTTTTTCAGTCTACAAGACCGGTAAGGAGAATTTTGCAAAGCGTAAACCGTCGCATTTTTTTCTCAATTTTTATAACTTAGAAACAAAGGTGTCGATTGAGCTGAGTCTAAGCACATCACAAAGGGGAGAAATTGTACTTTCCATGAAAATAAAAACTTATCCCATTTTGAAAAAGTGTTCAGTTTGCCCCACTCGCCCTTATTTAACATAATTTATCTATTAGATTGAGAGATGCTTCATGAACAGAAAAACAAAGTGAATTATCAAATCAAAAAAGTTGAAGACATGCTCGACCTTGAAAAACATTAAATTTTTTTTTCCATCTTTCAAAAAAAATTCGTGTTCATTCACTGGTGTTTCCCCCTCATTCTCACATGTAATTATGTTCTTCACATATCCTACGATTGATTCGTTAGAGTTTCAACAAAATTGAAAAAACCACTGAAACACGGGAAGTAATAAAGAAGACATGAACATAATTACATATTTATCTGTACATTTGTACCTAGTTAAAATAGTCCCTTTGCATGATTCAGTATTCAAACGAAAAAAGGTAATAGGTGTGTTGATTATCGCTGTTTCCTGTTAAATAATTTGTATTTATATGTTGATCTTATAGACACGAAAGAAAAAAAAAGAACGAAATAATGTTTATTTGATTAAAACACTGCTCAGAGTTTTTCTATCTGGATCTAGACGTTATTTCAAGTGTGACAGTGTAATTCAAATTACTTATCCTAAAATATCAAATGTTTGAGTGAACTGTTGCAAACACGTTTGTGAGTGGAAAAGATTATCAATCTCAAGAAAGAATTACAAACAAGTTTAAAATTGAATTTCTATTCGATCTCCTTTTTTCATGTTATTACTGCATATTTTTAGTTTAACAAGACATATGATGTTACCAATTCAACGATTGTTTTATTCAGTAAAGAAAATGGAATGAGTGGTATAATAATTGTTAGATGGCGCTAAGTGAAATGTTTATTAGAGAATGAATTTTATGAAAGCAGTAAACAGAATTATCTAACGTACTTATAAATTGCATTGAAGTAATTTTTTCAAATCATCAACAAAATTTAAAATAATGTTGGACAGAATCTAATGGTTATCAATGATAAATAATTGGAGGAAAATTGCATCACTCCGTGACTGCCTCAAAAAAATCAAGAAATCAGAAAAACCGAATTTATTATGTATGCAAGGTCATCGTTAAGTTTTACTTTTCTCATTACACTCATCATGAATATTCAAGGAATGAAGATCATCTGTCCTTAGAAAAAGGGGAGAATATCGCTAACAACTAGGAAGCTTCAAATATTTAAATAATTCAGAAGTCTAAAATTTGAACACTTTTTTCAGGGACTGAGTGGTGAATTTTTATTCCTGAATTATTACAAATATGAATTATTAATATTATTCATTATTCTGGTGCATAAGATCTATCGTTATTTGTTACTTTCTAATGTACAATTTTTTGATGAAAAAACCGTTGTCGATAATTAATTAGGGAATTTGGTTTTTATTATTAGTTCTATTTCAACTGTTTTATGTTCATGTTACGAGGGCGTTGTATGTGCATTTTTTGAAATATTAATTAATTGTATGTAATTTTACAATAACGGCATAATTGCAATATCAGGTGAAGACCTATTCAGTCCGACGATTATAAGTAATGGAAAAAGTAGGAAATATATATATTTTACACATTTTAGTCGAATTATCAGGGTATAGGAAATCCGCTGGACGATATCCAGAAAATGAAAGACGTCAAGTACTGTAATCATTCTCATCACATTCCTCATTCGTGGTTGAACGCTGTAAAAATCGCGAAAATCATTTTAATCTTTTTCATTGATATTTTGAAGGGAAAAAAAACAATGACCAAAGTTTTTTTTAACAATCTCGAATTAACAACGTCTTCTTCATTAATGTTTTGAAGCGACGATATTATATTCTATTCTGCATCTACGTTTTACTATTTTTATTATAATTGTAAACATTGAAATTGTACAGAAATGATGAGAAAATATTCTCGTAATGATGAATGATTTTTATTTCGTAGCCCCTTTAATGAAAAAAATGAAAAAAATGTGTTTTTGTGTGTTGAAAAAAATGGGGTGACGATGATTGAATTTGTCTTATGTGTGTGATGAATAAGACTTGTTTTTTGTTGACGTCAGCCTGTTGCACTATTATGAATAAAACAGCTCTATGCAAAAATTACGAATTGTTGTTTCTTTTCTTCTCCATAGCTATTCATCACGAAAGGGAACGCAATAATTCTTAGGAATCAATACGCAATTCCCCAGACGATTAGATCGATCGAAAAGTGAGTGGTGTTTTTCTGTAGTTCTCGAAAATGTTTGCGGAAATATTATTCAATTAATTTTCTACGGATTACTGCTGAATAACTCTGGGACACATAGGTGTACAATATGATTTCAGAAAGCTCTCTTCAAAGCTCATAAAATTCACTATAAAGAACTCGTCCAATTTACTTGGCCTAATTTTCTCAAGTTTTCACTTGTGCCCATAATTTAATAAAAATTATTCTGCATAAATGTATCAAGCTACTAAGTTCAGAGGAAGACTCTAAGAAGTCTCTTTCTTTGTTTTTTCACTGAATCACTGTCATTGTCATGCGTTCAAGTTTTTTCCCTCAATCACTCTCATCGCTATGCGTCGTGCATGCTAAACTGCTGTGAATAACGTATAATTTTTTATTATCTCATTCAAATAACTCTATCTCGACTGAATATTGTGCACATTTATCTATTGGAAAATTCCCACACTTAATTGTGTAAGTCTGCTTCTGACATGCTATCATATTTTACATAGTTTCAAAGCTTGTAATTAATTTTCTGGTTGCCCTTTGAGGAAGCTCATTCACCCCAGGGCATAATCAGAAAGCTTTCATAGCATATAATATGGCAGATATTTACGCCCCTTTCACCAAACAGGAATTTCAGAAATGATCACCCCAGAAGGTTTGATATCTCAAATGAAATACCAAATGCACCAACAGCGAATAATCCCTTTTATTTACTATTCATACATTAGTTATCAGAGAACGTAACGGAACCCATCATCAGCATTCTCTTCCTCTTCCTCATTCTCATCCTCCTGTGCTACTGAATCTTCATCAACCTCAATACTCTCTACCTCTTCTACCTTATCAACACACATGTTCCAGCACAGGAGTAGAGGATCCAGAGAATCCTCTAACTTATCTCCGTTCCTAATTCTCTCAAACAAGTAGCTCCGCTCAGGTCCAATGAAATGTTCAATGATCTTTTTAGCAGATTTGTAGTCCCCCATCATGATCAGCGACTCCAGAAAGTGGGCCTTTTTCATGCGGACGTCCACAAAATTCAAATTTCAATGTCAAAATAGCCCTTTCACCAAACCTTCAGAAATGATCATCCTTGGAAAGTTTGATATCTCAAATGAAACACCAAATGCGTCAACAACGAATAATCCGTTTTATTTACTATTCATACATTAGTCATTAGAAAACGTAATGGAACCCATCATCAGCATTCTCTTCCTCTTCGTCATCCTCCTGTGCTACTAAATCTTCATCTACCTCAATACTCTCTACCTCCTCTACCTTATCAACACACATGTTCCAGCACAGGAATAGAGGATCCAGAGAATCCTCTGACTTATCTCCGTTCCTAATACTCTCAAACAAATTGGTCCGCACAGGCCCAATAAAATACTCAATGACCTTCTTAGCAGATTTGTAGTCCCTCATCATGATCAGGGACTCTGAGATCTTCTCCTGAGCAGCTTCAGGCAGACATTTACTGTAGTCCACAGCATTCTCGTCAAAAGGAAACAGCCCAACAATTTTAAATCCCTCCTTGATTATCCTTTCTCTCTCATCACCCAGGAATTCATCGATGGATCTCTTACAAAGTGGAGCAAAAGTGGTCTTCGTAATGGCCTTAACCCCTGGCTGTTTTCCCTCATCAATTTTCCGTTTCCAGAAGTTCCTCAAAGGTTTCAACACAGCAGAATCAAATCTCCTCATCATTCCAGTCGAATGCAATGGCAGTGAGTAAATAATAATCTCATTTTTCACACAGAACTCGTGAAGCTCAGCAGTCACATGATGCTTCTGAGAATGAGTGAAGATAATCACTGGGAATTGCACGTTTTCCTTCAAACACCAAGGGTGGAAGCTCTTGATAACGTAATCCTGGAACGTTGTGGTGGCAATCAGTCCAGTCTCCGACTTGGCAATGGTCCATTTATCTGGAAACAATACTTGTATGTGCGTGGGAATTCTTTTGTAAGGATAAACCACCATCGGAGGAACGATATCACCAGCTGCTGAGAAAGTGCACAAAACTGTGATAAACTCTTTTTCAGTTCCAGACGTTTCAGACGTTCTCCTCTCGCTCTTTGGCCCCAGGATGACTCCAGACTTTGGACAAACCAGCACGCCACTCTCTTCAACGTAAAATATGCTGCCAGGTAAATCCAAAACGTCGAGACAATGTTTCTTGGTGAGGAAACTTCTGGTCTCGATGAACCACTCTTTTAATCCCTCTTGCGTAACAGTGATTTTAGCTCTCGAAACGATTTCAGAGTTCTTTGTGCTAATCTCTGGGTGTCTCTTCATGAAGAGAGTGAGCCATTTATTCCCGGGACGGTTGTTCTTGAAGGGATTTTCTCTTGGGGACTCGAGGAGAATTTTTTGAACTGCGTCTTTCACCTCGTCTGGATGCATTGGGAAGCCCAACTGGGCTTTACCCAAGATCCAACGCTTCAAGTCTTGCTCTTCTTCTTCGGTTAGAATGGATTTAGGTCCCATTTTGCCTTTCTCGGAAAATTTACCTGTCACTCGGGAATGCAAGGTCGTTTTTGGAACGCTGTAGGCGGATGCTGCGTTGCTTAAAGATTGCCCATTTTTTACTGCTTCGATAGCTTTTTTCATAGACTCGTCGGAGTATTTGAAACGCTTGTATTGGGGGTTTGGCGGCGGTTTCTTTGCTGAGGACATCTAGAATGAGATATGTGTTAATGAATCTTGGTGTTACACGTATGAGAAAATTCAATAGAACAACTTTGCGAATTCGCTAGGAAATTCTGTTGGGATTCTATTAAAATTATAGAGAATTCTCGTTAAAATTTTATTTTCGTTTTTTACGCTGATTCATGAGATATTTGATCGGAAAAGGTCAATAGATTTCAGTTTTTCTATATGAATATTCTCTTGGAATTTTTCCCTTCGCATGGAAGCATTTCAAAAGTCCGAAAATGCAATTTTTAGACAGTGTCCGTACGTATGTATTTGGGTACATATGTAAACAAATTTTTCTTCAATTGTTCGCTAATGAATCGATGGAATTGTATCTTTCTTTCCTCAAATGTAGATATTGTTGAGCCCTACCAATCGCCATTAAATAAAATTTAATACATTCATTAATTTTTTTAATTTCTTAAATTTTTCAAAAATGGTTTTTTTTTACGTTAACTAAAAAAAATTGTTCTGAATTGATTGAATGATGGCTTAAAAACTTTATTTGAATGTCCTTTTTAACCGAGTTCGAAGGTAAAGGCGATATCAATAATAGTTACTTTGATTTATTTGAAAATTTGAACAATTTCGAATTTCTCATGAATTTCCCGGAAAGTGAGCTTTCTGATGGTTTCATCAAATGTGATGTCTCAAATTCATTCAAGTACATAAATAAAAATTTTCTATTAATAATGAATCATACATGATATAAAGAAATGATGCCCAAAATAACCATTCAGAAGCATATTGCTAATTTATTATCGAAAATAACTATACTATATGCACTACAAAAGCAATTTCCCTCTGGTTTCTATAGGAACATGTATGAAAAAATCGTATAGAAATTTTCTATACTGAGTGCGTATAGAAAATCCTATACCAATATAGGATTTTCGTATGATATTCGGATATTTCTATATGGATATTTTTTATACAAATTATTTCTATACGATTTCTATACGTTTGATCCTATACGACGCACTGCCACATGTATAGAAACATTTCGTATGGAGTTGCGACATTTCTCTATATTTTTATGTCATAGGTGCCCAGAATCACGCGATTCTAACCTCGCTTCGCTCGGTAGAATCGCGGATTCTGGGCCCTATGACATAAAATAGTATACGAAACTCGTGCGTAATGGTGTTTTTTGACTCGTGGGATTGTAAAACTCGCCTTCGGCTCGTTTTACCACTTCCCACGAGCCAAAAAAACCCATTACGCACTTGTTGCGTAATATACTATTCTCTCGAGCGGTTAGATATCTTTCGAATGAAAACAAAAATTTATGTAAAAATTTATGTATAGAAATAATTCGTATAGAAATATCCGAATATCATATATGGAAAACCTATAGAATTTATGTACGCAATCCGTAGGAGAGGATGGGGTAAAATGGACACTTAACTTTTTTAAAAATATTCGTAACTCAGAAACAGATTTATCAATTGCGCTCAGTCTAAGCTCATCACAAAGAGGAATCATTGTTCTTTCTACTGAAAAATAAAATTATTCCATTTCATGAACAATTCAACAAGTCATGAGCATTTCAAAAAAAGTCACAAGTGTCCATTTTACCCCACCCATCCCTATAGAAAATTTCTATACGATTTTTTCATACGTGTAATGCTTGAGCATGAATTTTCTAAATTTTTTCCTGTAATGGATCCTGTAATGCAAAACACAACAACATAGAGTAGAAAAAACTTAGAAAATCCGTGCCCAATCATTTTAATAGAAAAAATCTTAAGAGAAAAATTTAAACACAGGAAAATTGAAATCTGTTGACTTTTTCCTATTAAATATCTGATAGAATCGGCGCAAAAAACAAATAGAATTTTAACGAGAATTCTCTGGAATTTTAATAGAATCCCCGCAGAATTTCTAGAGAATTTCAATAGAATTTTCACCGAAAAGGTTCACCCCCGGGATACGTTTGTGAATGTTTTCCTTCCGGAGTTATTTACACAACCAGCAGGTGTATCCAGGATCCATCTCTTCATGATTCAATTGAATTATCCTTCCTTATTCATTAATAGGTGAATTTTTGAGTCGTGAATTTAATAAGTAATAATAATTGATCCCTCTTGTTGGATTGCATGAGTTTAGTGGAGGTGAATTGGTGAAATTTATTGGCCGGTCGGCAATTGGAACAAGGTTAGAATTCAACACCAGTGAAAAAACATTAATTGTTAATGTTCAGGGCGTTTCATTTGTATGAAGACAGGGTGAAAATTTGAAGGATGATCTAACGAATAATTAAAAATAATAGAACTTACTTTCGATGATCAATTATGAAAATGATTGTGTATCTGGAAGAGTTGATGTAGAACGACCGCAATTGATGGAAGGTGCGCCGCCATACGCCGACCGGATATGAAAAAATTTGTGTTGCAAATCACAGGCAAGAAAACATAATGAATCGAAAATTGTATGAATGTTGTTAGGGGAGGGTGAAAAATTAGAAAAATGTCTGTTCCATATATTGCGAGATGAGCGTTTCATATTAGAATCTATCTCTATTAAGGGGTCTCCTCAGTAATTTTCGCCACAAAACGACAATGTGCTAGCGAATTGAATATGTAATATCATAATCAAAAATGGTAAAAGGAAAATTGTAAAAAAAACGCTGAGTAGTTTTATCGTTTCATTCGTTTTCAATTAATCATTCAAATTTCTGCTTATACATGGGCTTTAAGAACGAAATTTTGTCCCTTACCCCTCACCCTGTTGACAATGTGCTAGCCAATAAAGGAAGCTATATTAATTTATATTAAACTCTCAAAAATAAGGGAATGAAATCTCATCGAGTTTTGCCAGTAATTTGTTGAATAAATTAACGATAAAAATAATTGGCGTGATGTCTGTCACTATCCAACGCACGCCATGTTTGATGTTTCGTCTCTCTCGAAAATAACCTCACTAACTTAACCATTTTACGCTCCACTCACCCGCGCGCCTATCCCCGTTTTGCCCTACTGAGGAGACCCCTTAACCCTCGGTTGGACAGCCCACCTCTAGTATCTCACTCGCTCTACTGTGGCGCCTATAGGTCGGCTGGCGTCATCCTCATTAGTTGACCAACCGAGGGTTAAACTTAGGTATCAGTCTATTATGTTGGAGACTTATTGATATTGATTCATGGTCCCGATTAACTCCTGATTAAACCTCGGTTAAGCTCTAGCTAAATCTTGATTAAACTCTAATTAAATCCTGGCTAAACCCTGACCAAACCTTGCTTAAACCCTGACTAACACCGAATTCGAATCTTAAGGGTTTGAATATAGAATAATTTGAAAGACCAAAATAATACCCAACAATTTTGATGACATTCCAACGTATGATAGTACTATGACATGAAAAAAAAGGGGAATAGATGAAAAAAGAATCCATTCGGAATCAAATTGCTAATTTATTAGCGATAATGATTATACGCATTTATAAAAAATCTTGTGGTAATTAGCGAGTTTTTTTCCAGTTAACCCCCGGTTCTTTAGATATCTCTCTTATACAGGGTCGGAGATTTAGTGCTTTTATGGCTAAATATTTATACTCATTAAAAAATTTTAATTTTATTCGAAATGTTTTTGCCACTGCTGCTTCGAATACACCTAGGGCTCGCGTCCGCCTTCGAAGTTTATCGTATTTTTTCCTCAAGTTCTCTTGCATATCAACGCTAGACAATAGTTTTACAATAAAATCCGTAAAATTATATAATCTCTTTTGTTGCTAAATCACAAACTATCTGAAAATATCCAATGATTTGAACGCTTCCGGCGTGTTATAATTGAGAATCAGTATAATTCTTTGCATGATTCCACGAGGGGCTTCATTGTCTTTCAGGAAACTTATGCTGAGAAAGTTTTTTGAGAAAAATCTCTACAGAATAAGTTTTTAAAGGGAATAACGTATTGATTCCCAAATATACTAGAACTTTCGAAAGGATTTTTACATATGGATCGTAATATTCATTCATTAATATTCATTTATTGCTGATGAGACAGAATATAGCAATTAACACAAGTCGGAAGTACACTCATGCAAAAACTAGAGAAACATCTATCGTAGCTTATGAATATACTAATTACATAATTTTTTTCGTTATGACAGCTTAATTACAGCGATGTCCAATCAATTCAGTGGCAATGCAGACATGTGCCTCATCACGTTAACCCCTCACGTACGGGCTCGGTATGTCATACTGACCCATGCAAAAATGCACGGCTCTTTTCAAAATTGAATATTTCCGAAACTATGGCAGATAATACAATCGGACTAATGCCATTGGGAAGATGAATACTGTAGCTTTAATTATATATTTTATTTATAATTTTTCATTCATCAGTAAATATGGGATGCGAAGAGTATTGAGCGTGTGGTAGACTTGGTATCAGAAAGGTCCCGTACGTGAGGGGTTAATAGTACGTCTTCTTCATGGTTTATTCTTTCGTTGGTCCTATCCCGCTAGCTCGCCTAACGTCTGTGGTCGCGCGGTTAGCGTCGCGCCGCACGTGGTTTGGGCGATAGTGGGTTGTTGCCGTCGCCCGCAGTATCCTTTCGATCCGGTCCTCGTACGTCAAAACACTCGTTCACGTTCAACTTTTTATAATGTTTTATGAATTAAAATTCGGGGATACTTTTTTTCCATTTTTGCTCGAACTCTTTTCACATTACCAATAATACTACATAATACTAATACTTTTCATACTTTATTTTAAATTTCCCATTACCTTGACTCTGTAATCAATCGTCACCAACGAGTGAAACTTCGAAATAAGCTGATATTCATCTATTTGTTTTATTCATACTATTCATTCATTTTGGTTCTTTTACGTGAATTATACCATTCAACAGCCATCAACACTAGCAACCTAGTCTAACTGTACTACAATTATTAGAGTAACTCATCCTTTGATTCAATCTAGAGCTCGGCAATAATCATTAATTGCCCAATATTTCTTGAAATAATTCCAATTATCACCCTGAAGCGTCAATTGGTATTTTCAATTTTCCGATTATTCCATCAATCGGTAATCATAAAAAATTATGCATTAAATTCTCAATTGACAATCAGCCTTGGGGTATGATCGATGAATAAAAAAATAAGTAATCGGAATTACGAAGAAATGATTGTCATTTCAATCATGCATGAGAACCGTAAATTAATTCGTTGATCGAACAATCATTAATCAGGATGGGCAATTATCTGATTACATCGGACCAGTTCTCAATCATCACAGCAAACTGATCGATTCTTCAGTACACAAATAAACAATAATGTACACTTCCTAATCATTTTGATAATATTTCATTCAATTACAAAATTCACAGAGAAAAAAAGTAGATTAGCTTTAGAAAATAGTGTCTAGATTTTAGAAATTCCTGTTATTAAGCTCTATCCTTGGTGGAATCATAAAAACTAACGAGTTTGGGGATTGCTTTTAAGAACAAATAACTTCTAAAATGAATGCTGAATTTTTCGTAATTAAAAAAAATTTTCAGATTGAACTAAAAAATTGCGGCCGAGGTATTTAAAGGGCGTAAGTTTCAGATGTACCGAGGGGGGTTTCATATGTGGGGATTGTTCAAGGGCAGGCTTAATTAATTGGGAGGACAGGTTTATACGGCTGATTATATTTATGGGCTCCTGTATGGTGGTTCGTACATGAGGAGGAGGGGTTATACATAACGGGGGTCTTATACATGGGTTGTACTGAATTTTCGATGTACAGCCCCCCCTCCTTTCTTGTAGTCGAACTAGCTGATCAGTGAGTTTTTCAAGAATATCTCTGAAACTAAGGGAGAATTTTTACTGAAAAATGTGGGGGGGGGAGGGGTTGTGCATTAAGAATTCAGAACCAAAAAATTGAAAACACCCCCTCCTTTTCAATTTTTCAATAAAAATTCGCTATCTCCCATAACGTCGAAGATGTCCTTGAAAAAAGCTGCGTAGGAGTCAAATTTCAAGAAACGAACATTTTTTAAAAAATGTTGAAAAGAAGACTCTGTATAGCTCAAAAATTCGCGGCCTTGAACTATTTTTAATACTTTAAGCGTCTGTGGGGCAAACGCACTAGAAAAAATTGATTTTTTTTCACAAATGATTCATTTTTGGATATAATCGATCTTCAATGTATGAGAAATCTCTTTCCAATAGCCCGCAACTTTTAAAACTCACAGTAGTCTCCCCTTAATGTTACATTATTGTAAAGCAAACGAAAAAATATGAAAATATGCAAACTATGGGATGAAGTTAAAAAAATCTCCTTTCATATGAAATAATTATAACCTTTGTTTTTTATCACTTCCGTTTCGTGTCAGGAATATTTCCAAAGAAAACTTCTAGAAAATGTATTTCTAATCATTTCAAAACGCCTTGCGTACAAAATATCAGGAGCTCTTTCTCAGAATGCCAAATTGGTGACTGTGTCATTCAGTCGGGCGTGGTACACAGGAATTTTACCTGTGAAACCGTACTAGCCAATTTCCGAGCAATTTATGGTTCGGAAAATCAAATCGCCTGCTGAGCTTCAAAATTTCTGTGGATGTGGCTCCTACGTACATCGTTTTGCATGTAATAAAATGCCTTTTGGGAATTTTCTCGTCTGCACTAAAGATTAGTTGAAAGACGACTTTCAAACAGTCAATATCGAAGCAATCGCTGCGTGAACGTTGTTATTACAGTGAAGTGTAACAGAAACAAGTGCTATTATGCCAGAAACAAGACAGATTACCGAAATTGCATTAATGGGTAATGCAAGCTCAGAGATTCGCGGAAACCAATTGCCTTCGAATAAGCAGGCTTTACGGTGTTATTTTTATTACACGAGACATGCAATACCAAAACTCACGGGCCGTCAGGCTGCGACGTATGTGGTACGGAAGTGTGCTGTGTTCTGGAAGTATACGGGGATCCCAATTGTGAAGGAATGCTATGCAATTAGCAAAATGAAGAAATTAGTACAGCAGTACAAGACTATTCTCAAATACGGCTCTAGAAAGCAAAGTCATGTGACAGCGCAAGTAAAGGAGATTGATTTCAAATGTATGCTGGATGACTTATTTGATATTGCTCATCAAAAACAAGTAGACACTATGAGCAATGGAGCAGCTAAGACTTTATTAAGTCTGCATCGAGAGAGGGGGCGGAATGGTTGCTTGGACACAATCATCGATACAGGAACCTGGGCCTGAGTAAAAGTGAAGGTCAGTATGGAAAATGCTTTTACCGCCTGATGAGATAATATACTATTATTTCAATCAATTTTCCATTAATTTGACTCTTTCGTCCATACGCAAAATAATTCATCAACAATAATAAACAATAAGCTCACAACCGTCAAATAATTTTTCGTTATCACCATACC